TCATCCGCTCACATAGTCCATTCTGTTCAGGCGTGTATGGACATGTTGTTTGATGAACTATTCCCATTTTCTTTAAGTAATCATTAAACTCAGTATTGCAAAATTCCTTTCCATTGTCACTTCTAATAATTCTTATCTTTTTGTTTGTCTGATTTTCTACTAATACTTTATATTCTTTAAATCTGCTCAAGGCATCATTCTTGTTCTTTAAAAAATAAATAGCTGTCATTCTGCTAAAATCATCAACAAACAAAATAAAATATTTAGAACCTCCAATAGAATCACACTCCATAGGACCACAGATGTCTGTGTGAATAATATTCAACACCTATGTACTTCTCTTACCAATATGAGTAAAGGGCAATCTAGCTTGTTTTCCTTCACAGCAAATGGTACACGTAGACTTTGTAATGTCAACTTTCTCTTTCAAGGTTAATCCATCAACTGAATTCTGCATTTTATTCAGGTATTCACTGTTTACATGACCCAGCCTACGATGCCAGAGCTCACCAGATATGATTGCTGCTGCAGACATACCTTTTTGAAGTTGTAGCTTGTAAACTCCATTATTTAATAATGCATAAGCAACCAGTGTACCATATTGATTATAAATTTCACAAGCGTTTGTAGTGAATATAACATTATTCCCTTTGCGAAGTAATTGGCTAACTGATAGTAAGTTAGTCGTCAATTCCGGTACACAAAACACATCTTGTATGTCCACATCAAAGCTGCAATCATTAACTTTGGTAGTAATCTTTATATAATCCGGAACACGCAATTGGCACTTTCGTTTTATCTGCTATAATAATAGTGTGCCCTTTTTTTTCGTAAGAAATATTCTTGAGCCATTGTTTATTCGGCGTCAAGTGTACGCTAGCTCCAGAATCGATATACCAATCTTGGCTGTTAAAGTTACCGCTTAGAAAGACCGCACTGAACGCATTTGTTTGTTTACGCTCATTTCTTTTGTTATCCGACGCTTCCGCAGTACATTGTGACTTATAATGACCAATTTGTTTGCATCGATAACATTTGATTTCTTTCTTCGTCTTTGTTGATAATGTCGTTCCATGTTGGCCGCCATGATTTTTGTTGACCATAGACTGTCTGGCCGTCGATGAGTGATGCCGAGCTCTATAGCCACTGGCCAAAGCGCCATTCGATCCATCATTCATTCCGTTCGTTCCGTTATCTGATTCCATGTCGAGTAGCTTGCTTTTAATGGCGTCGGTTGTTATCTGAATACCCGAATGTTCGATGGCCATTATCATGGGGGCATATTTTTCAGGTAGCCCTGCCAATAACAATGAACCAATCCACTCGTCGTTTAACTCGAATCCTGTATTACACAACTTTTGCCTTGTTTCTATAATTTGTGTCACATATGCAATCATAGAACCACAATTTTCGAGTCGTATAGAAATTAAATTTCGTAGCAAGCTTATTCTCCGTGTGAATCCGGAATCATCAAATAAGGCTCTTAGCTTCTCCCATAATTCTTTGGTGGTCGATACATTTCTAATGTGTACATACAATGAAGAGTCAATCGTGAGAATCAGCTTTGCTTTGGTTTTTGCATCATCATCGGCAAACAATCTAACATCTTCCTCTGGTTTGATGCATTTCATCATTCCTTCTAGGATTAAGAAGTTCTCTGCTGCAAATACCCATTCGCTGTAATTTTCTCTTCCTCTCAACTTTGGTACATTGACAATGTAATTTGCCGCCATTTTGTGCTTGCTGCATGCAATCCAACGCAAACTAACCAAAAAATTTTGAGCGCCTATGCTAGCTAATCTAATTATCCTACTGCGATTTATTATCACACTAACGACTTGATATTTCAAACTTTCGCGATAATTAGCTAAAAAACTAAAGGCCATAGTCTGGGCCCATAACCTATTAAATAAAACGACGTACTTACTTGATTCACTTGGAACGAACTGAACTTTATTTCATATAAGAAGGAATGACATACATGTGACACAGACCTTATTCTAGATGGCGCTAGTTGTACTACCTATTATATTATTTTTATATAAACTAACAGTTTATCCATGGGGTGACTAGAATGGAGGACGAGATATGGACAGAGAGGGAGACAATCTATAGGTGGAACAAAGGGTGGAGCCAGTTTATCTGCAAAAGTGTCCATCCATTCTGCGGGATTATTTGAAGTCGGATTGGGACGGTCGAAAGCCCTGCGGAACCTCTTTATTTGTTTCCAGACTTTAGAAGAGGGGGTGCCAGGCGCCATTTCCTCACAGAACCTCACCCAGCTGTCTCTCTTTTTCTTGGCAAGGAATTTTTTTGCCCGGGCATCTGTCTGTTTGTACTGCAAATAGTTCTCCATTGTCATGGACAGATTGTATTTTTTTTCCATCTCCTTCCTTTTTCGGATCACATCAGTACATTCAGCATCCCACCAAGGTGGGTGTTTTTTCCTAAAAGAACGGTTTTTTAGGGGGATGTGTTCATCTGCCGAGGAGATCATAACTTCTACTAAGGATGAATAAGCAGAGAGGCAGTTGTCCCGGGATATATCCGGTAGGGATGCTATTTTGACTTCAGCTGTTGCAGAATATGAAGACCAATCAGCTTTATTTAAGTTATACTTTAAAAGTGGAGGATTCGTATTATGTGGGTTGGAAGAGTTGGAAGGCAAAGAGATTACGATGGGGAAGTGGTCACTGCCAAATGTACTGTAGAGAATGTCCCAGTTAAATTGTGAAGCCACATTTGGAGAACAAACAGTAAGGTCCGCCTAGTAGGCCGGCCAGTGTTAATGACACATAGGTTCTCTTCGTCAAAGAGATCAAGAAGAAGAATGCCAAAGCTGTTTGACTGTTGAGATCCCCAACAGGTGTGGTGGGCGTTGAAGTCACCCATTAGGGTGATTGGCGGTGGAAGAGCTTTAATGATTGACCGAAGCTCTTGAATGGAGTCAGCGTTAGGGTGAGGAATGTATATTGAGGCAAAAGAAATGCCAAGGACTTTCACTGCCACTGCATTAATTCGGTCTGAATTATGGGGGGGAAGAATTAAATTTTCATAAACCAAAGACCGTTTTACCAGAAGGGCGCTTCCCGCCCATCCATCACTCCTGTCATCCCGAAGGCATGAAAACCCAGAGACACTAAAGTGCCTGTCTGGGTTTAACCATGTCTCCGATATTGCAAGTAATGATGGAGAAAATTTATTGATCAAGTATTTCAAGTCTGACACTTTGCTTTGAATGCTTTTACAATTCCATTGTATGATGTTCAGAGCCATTTTTGTTTAAGTTATTTAAAAGAGGTAAAATCTTAGAAGCAACGTTGGGCGGTAAGGGTACATCACTATATTTGGACAAAATGTTAGCTACTAATAACCACAGTAGGTCCCAGTAGTCATCATTAGGAGAATCATATGAGGGGAGTGCAGAGTTGCCTTCTGTATTACCTAATGCACAGCCATTAGGAAGAGTTGATGAAGGGCTACTTATAATATTTTGGTGAGCTAATCTGTCATATGACCTGCCTAGGGGAGTCCTAGACCGTGCTTGACGATAGATAGTTTTTTTGTAGGAGGTAGGATGTTTGCTTTGTATGCTTGGGTTTTGTGAGCCGGGTAATAATGGTAAAGAGGGTAAAACAGATTTAGTAGAGTCAGCATAGGATCTTTTTACCTGCGGATAAAGCTGAGAGGCTTCATGAAAAGACATATTTTCCTGTGACATGCTGATTTTAATGGATTTTTGCCTAGAGTGTTCTGGGCATGACTTGTTTGTAGCAAAATGTCTACTGGAACAATATAGACATGTAGCCTTCTCTTCAGGAACCACACAGGTTTCACCTGCATGAGGTTGGGCACAACGGAAACATCTGGGCTTTGAACGGCATTGAGCTTTAACATGACCAAACCTACAGCAGTTGTTGCACTGTATAGTTGGTAGTAGATAGTTTTCAACAGGAATTGAAGTGTAAAAAGAAAATATTCTTTTAGGTAGATATTGGCCCCTAAATGTGAGGACCACAGATTGGGATGGAACCCAAGAAGTCTTGCCATCAACAATTTGTTTACGGTTCAGACGTCTTGCTTTTAAGACAATACCACAACCATCTGGAACATCCAAAGACTCCACAAGTTCTTCCATACTTAATTCTGTTGGAATTCCCTTAATCAGACCCATACGGGTTACATTGTAGGTTGGAATCGTAACCACATATTTATTCAGGGCTAATAGGGGATTATTTGAGAATGTGTTGGCATCTTGATATGATCGGGATTCCACAGAGATGCGATTGCGTCCAATTTTTTTAATTCCATCTTTGACTATACTTTTAATTTTGTTTTTTGTCAGAAATCTACCAAATATAAGAGGTCGGATAGAAGAACCAGTAGAGGGGGAGGCCTCATTAATTGATACATGTACAATAAAAGGCCCTTTATCCAAATTAGAGTACAATTTAGGTGCATCATTAAGAGAGGGGTGGGTATACAGAGAATGATTGGCTTCTTGTGATTGTTGTGATTCGGTAATGAGAGTTTTTCTAATAGGCTCGGCCTCTGCTTCTGGGTCGAGGCGTCTTTTAGTGCCTGTTTGCGTGAACAATGGGGGAGACTGATCCATCGGAGTCGGAGATCGCTCCTCATCCGGAGGATCTGGTGGGTCGGGAGGTACCCTATCCATCGCTCACGACGCAAGCGATGGAAAGGGTAGGAAAAAAGAAGTTATTGTATTACTTACCAATAAAAACAACACAAGGATACACTTACTACCACCACTGCTAAAGATAAAACGGCTTATACTGTGGAGAAAGTACCACTAAACTGCCGAAAATGTCAAAATCCCATAAACACCAACACTCGCGAGAACGGAATCCGTCACCTGCTTGTAAACATGCTGTCGAAGTGACATTACTTTGTACTGTTTGACGTTTTAATGACAGCCGTGTGACGTCACAGAAACCACCCAAATATTGCAAGAACTTTACTAATTAATAATTTGGTTGCAGGTGGTGGACGAAACTTTCATTGACCTGATAGATCCACAGACAGGGACCGTTTCTAATACACTGCAACTGATCAAACAACACAACATTGCTGGATGGGGATCAGACGTAAGTCATAAGTCAAAATTTCCTTATTCAAATTGAAGCATAATACAACTCTTTTCAATCATCCTATTGTTTTCCAATTATTTGAAAGTTAAGATTTTTTTTTATATTTTTCTTCAATAATACATTCAGTGAAGATACTCTAAAATAAACTATTTATCGATTTACAATATTAGTTATAAAACTTAAAAATGAGCTTATTTCCTTATATTCAGCCAATGACGAGGATACCTCAAGACGTACTTGATGGAAAATCCATCCCGAAATCAGGCAGCATGTACGAGAAGTCTAATAAATCGTCTGTCAAATTGAAGCTTAAAGGTAAGTGTGCTAAGGTACTTGTAGGTGTATAGAAAAAGCTAGCTTTAGTAATTTACGGCTGATCATTCAAGCCCTGTATAAAACTTATTCGCCTGATACCCTATTGTATCGTCAATAAAAATTGGTGCATTAATTTGTCACTCACTTTGAGTTACTTTTGGTTGTTTTAAAGTAAACTAAGTAGTTCGACTATAGAACTAATTGGAACAAAGTTGTTCTTCTTTCGTACGAAAAATTAGAACGTACATACGGTAGGTAACTTACAGTTCAAACAAAACACTTTGTTATGTGAGTCACATGTCATGTGTAAAATTTTATTTAGATTTTATAAATCAAGCAGTTTAATGCATTTGCAGCAAATTTGCTAACTCTCGATAAAAAAAATGTCAAAACCTCTGATGTCAATTTGACATCATTCTATGGGCCAAATCTAGTAGTACTTAAATTGAGATTTAGCAAAAGTACTGCAAGTGGACCGAAAATTAAATTATGATAATCTTCACTACGTCATTTAGGCGGCACGGCAGTAGATCCGGATTCTGGCTTGGAAGACATAGCGCACGTTTACAGGGACGTAGAAGGCACCAAATACACCGTAGTCCTCAGTAAGACTGATGTCGTCGCGCAGAAGAACTCCTACTATAAGCTACAAGTCTTGGAGCATGAAAATAAGAAAAAGTAAGCTGTTTCATGATATCTTAATGTATAAATATTTATCCTTGTTTCCATTGGTGATGCCATAACTTGAACTATTTTGTAGATTGTTTTTATGGGAAAATTTAAGCAGGTCCCTTAGAAAATTTTTAAGATTAAGAAAGCAACTTAGATTTTATTTGAAAATAAGTAAGATCTGGGGCCTTAGGATCTAAAACTATAAATTTAATGTAACATGGTGTTATATTTAAATTATCAGATACTGGTTGTTCCGTTCGTGGGGTCGCATTGGAACCACAATTGGTGGGACCAAACTGGAAGACTGTAAGTCGTGCGATGACGCCATCGACAGATTTACATCGCTTTACGAAGAGAAGACTGAAAACCCGTGGGAGTTCCGCGACAATTTCATGAAGGTCAGTTAATTAAATAAAATGAAATGGAAATAAACTGTATTCAAGTTGACTTATCAATAGCTCTTTTAAATTGTCCTCAAATTTTATTGAGTTGAAACTTCTTTTTGAACGGGGTGTAAATAGAAAAATACTATGGATAATATTAAACGGAAATGCGTCACGAGCGTCACACGACTATAATCTATATATATAAAACTCAAAGGTGACTGACTGACTGACATAGTGATCTATCAACGCACAGCCCAAACCACTGGACAGATCGGGCTGAAATTTGGCATGCAGGTAGATGTAATGACGTAGGGATCCGCTAAGAAAGGATTTTGATCAATTCTACCCCCAAGAGGATAAAATAATGAATGAAAGTTTGTATGAAACTTTATCAATTTTAAACCGATTGGGCTGATACTTTGCATGCAGGTATAAGAAGAATCATAGATGAATGTCATTGTGTATAATACAAGCCTGAGAACAAAAACTGTAGTCTACACTTCAGCTCTACACCCAAGCGAAGCGAGGGCGGGCCGCTAGTATACAGGGCGTCCCACGGCTACCTCACACAGAGGGAAAGATATTAAATATTGAAGATAGGATATTTTACTGTAAAAAGACATCATTTTATTTTTAATAATAACAAGAACTGCATTCACAGATTTTTTAAAAAGCGCCTGCTACGACTGGGAATCAAACTCGGTGAAATTTCGGAAAAATAACACAACATATTTTATGATAACCATCGAAAGGGTTAATCATAAGGATTATTTTTTGCTAAATAACATAGCATGTTGTAATGAATGAAAAGTAATTAAATTTAACATTTTATTTAAAATTATCTTCAATATTTAATATACTTTCCCTCCGTGTGAGGTAGCCGTGGGACGCCCTGTATATATATATATACAGTGGTGGTCGTATAATTAGAAACACTACCAATGTTCCTTGACATTATGTAAGATTCTTCACCGCAATCGTTTTTATTTTGAAATTGAACAATAAACAATAGGACAACAATATGTTCAACAATTTATTATTTATTAGAAAAACAATATAAATCCCATTGCACAAGTGCAGATTCATTATTACATTACGGACAAACATTTAAATCAGTTTTAAGGTATGAACAATTATGGTTAACTAATTAGAAACAACAACAAAAAAGTATAAAAAACAATATTTTTTAAGTATTAGTAATTAGCGTTGTTATTTACAAAATAGCTACTATCCTCATCCTACCAATATTTATAATTAATATTTAGTGGCGTATCCCTTATTTCTAATAACAGCACTGCAACAACGCCGAAGTGGCATTGATTCAATGAATTTCATACATTTTTCTAGGGGGATTGAATTCCATGCTTCATATAGTTCGTTTTGACTGGTTTTACGTTTGTTTGAGATTTTCTTTTTAACAATATACCACAGATTTTCTATCGGGTTTCATTTCGGACTATTTGCTGGCCAATCTTAAAAGGATATACGTGGTTCGCTAAGGAATCATTTGACCCTATTGGCCTTGTGTTTAGGGTCATTGTCGTGCTGAAAAATCCAGGTTACAGGCAAATGACTACGTCGCGACTTGCGCTAACTTCACAGCTGCCATTAAATTGGAATCGCACTATAAGTACTCGACTTTAATCTTATTGAAACTTTACCTGGAGCCGGAAAATAGTGAAAATTGTATGAAACATCTATAATATGTTTTTTAAACAATCACACTAATATTATAAAGGCTAAAGTTTGTGAGTGTGTATGTTTGTTACTTCTTCACATCTAAACGGCTGGAGCCATTTCAATAAAATTTGGTATGGAGTTAGCTGACACCCTGGATTAACACATAGGCTACGTTTTACGGCAGGAAAATATCCCTAATAAACAGCGGGTAACACGGCGAGGCACAGCTAGTTAACCATAATTTAAACATCGAGCAGTTACATGCTTAAAAAATAAATATTAATTAATTAGTATAATTGCTATTTCTTCCTTCAAAATGTTTAATACTTGTAAAAGTATTCATATTACATTGTGGGTTACCTGAATGCGAAGAGATGGCGCTGCCTTGCAGCTTAAGAAAGGCTAGAATGAATTCGACAAGGACGTCAGGGCCGCGGTAGCATAATTGGTCAGTGCATTCGCCCGGATAGCGAAGGGTGCGGGTTCGAGTCCCGTCTGCTGCCAGGTCCGCGTAGAATTTTTTCTAGTAAGAATTTCTTTATATTTAAACATCGAGCAGTTACATCCTTAAAAATAAAAATTATAATTAACCATAATATTGAATTTGAAGTATTGAGTTTTGGGCTGCAACAAGTTCGTATATCATATCAAATCCACTACTATTACTAACCACAATTTTAAAATATAAATTGTTCTCAACCCTTTCATCAGGTCCCTGACTGTTATTACCCGATCGACGTCGATTACGGAGAAGATGTGCACAAAAAAGTCATCAGTGAAGATAAGTCGTGCACACTTCCAAAACCATTGCAAAACTTGATTAGAATGATATTCGATGTGGAGAGTATGAAAAAAGTACTACTCGAGTTTGATGTAAGTATGATGTTTTAGGTTGCTTCATTAACATTCTGTTCCATGTTAAAAATTATCACTCACTGTCTGCTTCCTTGTCTTTTCGTGTTCTCCTTTCCCCTCCTCCATCTTATTCTGTTCTTATCTCTTTCTCTTGTCTATCTTACCCTGTCCCCTTGCAACTTTAACCTCATTAAAAGATTATACATTTTTGCCTAGATAATTAATTTTTACCTAATTAATAAAACATTAGTTTCTTCCATTGGGGTACATATTATATTTATTTTTACTTAAAGAACTACAGTCTTTATTTAAAATGCTATAGTCTCTTTCATGACTTAACAGTCTACAATCATATTATCCAATGTAATCAGAGAAAACTGGCCATCCCTTAGTATATTGCGATTCCACTAAGAATAGGACCGACTGGGCGCCACATTGTGATGTCATAGCTGTCAATTCAAACCAAATAGGTAGAGTGAACAAAAAAAGTTTTTAATTTGATAAAATTTATTTACTAAGTTTAGGTAAGAAAAAACATCAGATTTTTTTAATAAAACTTATTTACTAAGATTGAGAAAAAAAAACAACCGATTTTTAATAATATTTATTTATTAAGACTGTGTGAGAAAACACATTAATCAGAATCTAGCTCTTCCATCCGCTCATCTGTGCATTACATAATCATGTACTATTATTACTAGGTCATATACGAACATGCATCCTTAATGTAAAAGAAAGATCTAAATCCAGTTTTTGAACGCAACTTAAAGTGATATTTGGTTGACAATTTAGGTTATCAACCATTCATAGCCAAAGCTCAATAAATGAAAAAAAAATATCAACCAATACTAATTATCAATATTTGTTATTGTTTGTTTACAAATGTTTGGTTTTTATTCTAGAATTAGCTGAGTGCTAAAAAAAGGTTACAAGTTTTTTTTGCAAACCATACTTTTCAAGCGACATTTGACAGATGGAGGTCATTGGCTTTCGTATTCTTATTTGAATCGCACTATAACTCAATAACTCATTATGTATCTTAGACAATAAAAATATGTAGTTTAACGACTTCTTAAATTATCTCACTTTTAGCTTGACACTGAAAAAATGCCCCTTGGAAAACTGTCTAAGAAACAAATAAAGTCAGGATACGAAGTGTTGTCGAAATTAATGAAGGATCTACAAGACAATAAAGCTACGCAAGGCAAAATAGTTGACGCCACTAACAGGTACCGTTTATGCTCAGAACTTGATGAATACTGATGCAAGAAATGTATGACGAAGACGAGTAAGTGAAATAAATAATTATTGTTAATCAAAAACTTTTATCTGTTCAGGTTCTTTACATTGATTCCACACAACTTCGGGGTGAATAATCCGCCTCTTCTAAATATGGATCTCATTAAGTCTAAGTCTGAGATGTTAGACAACTTACTTGAAATAGAGATCGCCTACAGTCTGTTAGATTCAGGTATTTATTTAACTACTATGCTATAAATAGCAGAGGTCTTTTAATAACTGCCATGGCTTACCAAAGAATTTCATGTTAAATAGAAAAGGAAGGCTATTAATATTATAAGCATAATAATTTGTTATCTATGCTTAATCACACTCACATCTTTGTACTACAATTTTTCATGCACGCATAAAACACTGGTGAACTAACGAGAGATACCTTGTTATTCCTTAACCTTAAAAAGATAACTTTATGACCATACAAATAGAGAAATAGTTACAAGCCAGCGATCTCTATCTGTAAACAATTTGCTAACACAATCTCTTGACATCAGAACTTTACTATATAGCAATAAGACACTTACAGCCAAAAGTCAAAGGATCTTTTTTCTTCAGCCTTTCTATCTTTACTCTTTTAAATAGGCCATACATTTATCACCGCTATGAATTTTTTTATAGATGATGGTTCTGAGAGTCCAGTGACGGCTCACTACAAGAAACTAAAGGCAGAAATTGCTCCATTAGAACGCAGCTCTTCAGAATTTGATATCGTCGAGAAGTATCTGCGTAATACGCACGCTGCCACACATTCCAACTATGCGCTGGAAATACAGGAGGTTTGTCTGTCTGTTCATCGTGGATATGTATGGCAGTTTCAGGAGAGGCTTTCTTCAAGGAACTTTTTTGTTATTTTTTATGTGACTATACTATTTCAATTAACTTTTAATCAGAATGTGTTATGGAATTTCTCAAGCACTCCAACTGAAGTAAATTCAGTTTACAGACATCTTATTTACATCTATCTTTAAAAGAGCGACCTAAACACAAAAAATCGTTTCCTTTATACTATTTATATCTTGAAACTTTTCAGCTCTCTGCTCCCTTTATTGCTTCAAGTATTTCTTAAAACTTTACCACTTTCAGGCGTTCAAAGTGGTCCGCGAAGGCGAGGATAAGAGATACAAACCCTTCAAGAAACTTCACAACCGCCGCTTGCTGTGGCACGGATCGCGTACCACCAACTTTGCAGGCATCATATCGCAAGGTATATGTTTTGATGACAGATAACAGATACAAGCCGTTAAAAAGCTTCAAAACCGCCGCCTGCTGTGGCACGGATCGTGCCCCACCAATTTCGCAGGCATCATATCACAAGGTATATGTTTTGATGACAGATAACAGATACAAGCCGTTTAAAAGCTCCACAACCTCCGCCTGCTGTGGCACAGATCGCGCACCACCAACTTCGCAGGTATCATATCGCAAGGTATATGTTTTGATGACAGATAACAGATACAAGCCGTTAAAAAGCTCCACAACCGCCGCCTGCTGTGGCACGGATCGCGCAGTCCGAATATATAATATACTAAGGTGATTCACCCACTGCAACGTGCGCATGCGCGCGTGAACTGCGCTATGCGTTGGTACCCGTTGCTAGTGGGCGCATCACCTAAACCATCGCCAATCGTGAAGAAGTCCTTACGTATTAAAAACGTCCGGGACTGCTGCGTTTTCAGTGTGTTATAGCCCGCGAAACGCCCCGCGCCTCCGCGCCGATTGGCAGATTTCACTCCTCGACGATTGGTCAGTATGTGGTAGGTCACGGCATTTCTATACTGAGATACTTGCTAACAACGTTAAAATATGTACTACGTCACTAATAAAATAAAGGGCATTAAACCATAGACGACCGAGTAGCAGTTTCACATACCAACCCGTTATTTGTCTGTAGTTTTGTTCAAGATGTTTGCCTCTACGTATACTTATTTAATATTGTCATCCAGACCTTCCCAACCATTATATCTTACGTTGTCATGATGACCTGCCAACCTACCATCCAACCCTGTCTAAGTTAAGGATAATAACTTCGTAAAATGTACAGTCAACAAAGGCATGACTGGGACGATTTTCCTTCGAATGATTTCCGATTTCTTGACCAAGGGGTAGCGCCGCTATTTTGTTCTTCACAAATCACAGTCCACTGCACAAAAATTAGAAAATAATGTCCCTAATGTTACGTTATTGCTTAATTCATAAAATTGGGTACACAATAAGCTGCTAATTAGTGAAAAATGTCCTATTGTTTGTCATTAGTCAAATCGAGAAGAGGCAGGACGAACGACACAAGCAAAACGATTTTACATTTCTAATGCCGGCACTTCACTTGGCTATTTGTATTTGCTATTTGTAAACTTAAAAACAATCTTTCCTCTTCCTTCCCTATAGAGCAAGATACGAAAAACCTACTGTCAAAATGACAAAAAGCAAATACTAACCAAATGCCGGCATAACGCTAACAAATAGAATTTGTTCATCAGGTCTCCGCATCGCGCCGCCCGAGGCCCCGGTGACCGGCTACATGTTCGGCAAGGGCATATACTTCGCAGACATGGTGTCCAAGTCGGCCAACTACTGCTGCACTAACGCCAAGAATAATGTGGGACTGCTGCTGCTATGCGAGGTCGCATTGGGAAATATGTAAGTGGGCGATTTTAATTAGTTAACAGACTTCAAAAATATGATGTTCTCAGTTTGACCTGTATGTATGTTTGTCCGCGATTATTTCAAGAACTACTGATCCGATTTGGATGGGGTTTTCGGTATATTAATGCGTATTTTCAAGGAACATTTTAGTATATAATATACTAGCAATGTCTAAGGGTTTCACCCGCGTAGATCGATCGGAACGTGCGATCTTCCTATCGACCAACGCTTGTAATATTTCCAGTATCTAAGTAGCATAATCCGTATTACAGCAAAAATGGTATAATAAAATATTTTTATTTTTAAGCACTGAAATGTTTGAATCTAAAGAAGAATTAACTAAAAAAATCCACGCGGACCAGGCAGCAGACGGGACTCGAACCCTTACCCTCTGTGATCCGGGTGGATGCACTGACCATTATGCTACAGCGGTTCTAATGGCCGCATGGCTAAATAAAATAATGGTGTCAATTCTGGCATGATTCTCTAAACCTAAACTTAAATTTGACAACAGTGTGTCCTTGTCATTCTCTTTACTGATGTTAAATTTAGTTTTAGGTTTAGAGAATCACGCCAGAATCGACACCAATGTTTAATAAAAATACAACCGGCTTAAAAAAAACGGAAAATGAAAAAATAAGATTTAGCGCCTGATATATTTGAAGTCAGCCATGTGTTTAGCAGGGAGATCATGATGAATGGCTAAACTGATAGATGTATCATTGCTAAATAAAAAAAAATACTAGAAACAAATCCACTCAGTCCAGGTTACAAGCGAGATTCAAACCCGCATCTTCCGCTATGCAGTCGGACGCGCTAACGAATAATTATTGAAATACAGGCAGTCCTCGTACTTACGGCATGTTAGGTTCTCGAAATACGAGACGTGAATCGAAACGACGTAAGTCGAGACATCCTGACGGACGCCAGCCCCACGGACATTGACCTCGCGACAAGTAAATTCTTCTATGCCGGAAATCGAAAGAATTGAAGTATGTTTGTTTGAGGAATAGTGTCAAACATTGTTTGACGTAACTTGAAACGACGTAAGTCGAGGACTGCCTGTATTCGTAAATAAATCAATTTTTTTTTGCTCTACAGGAAAGAGTGCAGTCGCGCTGAATCTTTCTCCAAGCCCCCTAAAGGCATGCACTCTGTATGGGGCGTGGGCCGGACGCAGCCGGACCCCGCGCTCTCCCACACTCTGCCCGATGGAACTATCGTACCGTACGGAACCCCTGTGCAAACACCGAACAATAACACCTCGCTGCTGTACAACGAGTATCCTTTATATACGATGTGTTTGAGTATAAAGAACAGAGAAAACGGGTAGAAAAAACCGCCCACCTGCGAGTATATACCTTAATACCCTTTGAAATTTCACATTGATTAATATACATCATCATCATCAGCCTATTAAAGACCCCACTGCTGGGGCACAGGCCTTCCCTATGGATGGAATAGGGAGATTGGGCCATGACCCATCACGCGGGCCCAGTGTGGATTGGTGGGTGCTAACGACTGCAGATGCAGCCGGGACCAACAGCTTAACGTGCCTTCCGAAGCACGGAGGAGCGCGAGGTAGTAAATTTTTGGTCACCCATCCAATGACCGACCACTGCGAAAGTTGCTTAACTTCAACGATCGTGGCCGAACGCTCTAACCACATGCGCCATCGAGCTCCTCAATATACAATGTATAAATGTTTGAGTATAAACAACAGAGTAAACGTGTAGAAAAACCGGCCACGTACGAGTATATAACTAAATACCCTTTTGAAATTTCACATTGATTTTTATACTAATAATATTTAATTATGTATAAATAAACATATGGTGAAGCATAGGTTGCAAACGCGCGCTATGATTGAAGGTTTTTGTACCTTCTTTATCCTGACGTTTATATCACTGTACAGGCTGAGGCGAAACCAGTGTGGATTGGTGGGTGCTAACGACTGCAGATGCAGCCGGGACCAACTGCTTAACGTGCCTTCCGAAGCACGGAGGAGCGCGAGATAGTAAATTTTTGGTCACCCATCCAATGACCGACCACTGCGAAAGTTGCTTAACTTCAACGATCGTGGCCGAACGCTCTAACCACGTGCGCCATCGAGCTCCTCAATATACAATGTATAAATGTTTGAGTATAAACAACAGAGAAAACGTGTAGAAAAACCGGCCACGTACGAGTATATAACTAAATACCCTTTTGAAATTTCACATTGATTTTTATACTAATAATATTTAATTATGTATAAATAAAAATATGGTGAAGCATAGGTTGCAAACGCGCCCTATGATTGGAGGTTTTTGTACCTTCTTTATCCTGACGTTTATATCACTGTACAGGCTGAGGCGAAACCCGCGCGGGATTCGCGACGCGATCCGTTTTTAACCTACGTGGTTTTGCCTGGACCACGTCGATTTTTTTAGTTAAAGTTTTCTTTAGATTTAAACATGCAGCAGTTAAACAAAAATATATTATATTTAATTTATAGAAACTAATGTAAATACATCACATAACGCTAATCTTATTTAATTTGCAATACTTACCTATATATTGGTGTCGGCTCTGACACGATTCTCTAAATCTAAAATTAAATTTAACAACAGTGTATCCTTGTTTATCCGACTGAATGACCAAAAGGTCTTAAAAGTTTTACAGTTCCTGATCTAAAATTGTTAAAAATACCAGCCACTATACACAAATCGGTGTATTTACTAAATAATTACCTACTATGACATTGTATAAAAAATAAAATACTGTAAACAGCTTTGACAATCGGCTACTTATCCAATACCAAAAGGTCAAGAATTTTTACAGTTCCTGAGTCGAAAATGTTATAATATACCAGCTGCTATATACAAATTGCTATTTTTACTACATTAATTACCTAGGTACCTACTTTGTCATGGTGTAAAACATAAATTGTTCAATATAAAAAATATTTTGCATTGTCCTTCAACACGACAGGATAAACGAATGTGAACCGTCGCCTATGCCGTCTTGAAAAAGTCGCTTATAATCACCAAATCTATACCTATCTAGTGACTTAGCAAGTTCAAAAACCGTTGAGCTAAGTATTGCAGAATTTCCTAAATCTAGCGACGAATTTCCAAAACTGGCAACACTGTTTGAGTGGCGAGGTTTGCGTTCCGCGCGGGATTCGTCTCAGTCTGTACAGTGCTTATAACTCGTTTGATGTCCCTCGTACCGTACGGTCGTGATTGTGACCGCAAACTTGACCGCAGCTCAACCATATCTTCTACGACCAAGGCTGCGGCCACGGCCAGAACTGGCCGTGGTCGGGGCCGTCTAGTGCACGGGGTTCCTTAGGGTCTGAGGTATTTGGCCAGTTTACGTGCTCACAACAATAATTGTGTATTTGTTGGATACATACATAGAGCGACGCGGCCAGGAGGGGAATTGGCATTCACAGCGTTTCACTCTGTCGATTTCCTCCGCTGTTGGGCCAGTTCACGAACAAAACTAAGTCGCGCTCGGATATTTCACTGGACTGAGTCAAGTTGCGCGAGTGTATGTTACAGATCAAAAATGCCAAAATATTATGTAATTTTCTGTAAAACATATCTGGAATATTAAACTTACAGAAGGATGGTGTTATATTTCACATATTAGTAGAATTATTAACATATTAATTATATTTAACCACTTTTAAACACGTATTTCATATTATTTTGTTAAAATTCAATCGTGGGGTTTGTTTGACAAAACAATCGACTCGCCAGTACTTACAGATCTGTCAATAAAAGTTTTATCTATGCCCGATTTAGCGCTGTCATTTTTTATGTGTGAGTGTCGTAATTACAATTTCGTTTTTGCTAAAGTATGTTGGACTGCATTTGTGTGCATATTCCTACCCCCGCAAAAAGCGGCAGAATGATTTCAGTAGTATTATGTCTGTATGTATGAGTACATAGACAGTTGCCTTGTAGAGAATGCTATTAGCATTCCGCCTTTGTGAATTTGGACCCACCCGCTTTGTACAGTTTACTTGTACATAAAAATTTGCTAACACCGCGAACGTCACTCAGGCCGCGTCAATGACCCGCGTTTACCTAGAGTGTCATATTATCGTAATTATAAATTATTATTTCTTTATTTAAAGACAGTGCAATTAGAAACGCGAACTAATTAACACACATTAAAGACAAGAATAGCCTACACCTTAACTGTAACTTTGTTTACAATATATCTCGGTATTTATCTCTCTCTGATCTTTTTCTCCTGCACTCCAATTAACTAAATCTCAACAACAACTACATTAAAAGGTGTACAAACTGTACATTTTTTGGTCCTTCGACAATAAGGATTCGGGAGATTTTTGTGTCTCTAACTCAGTGGCGAATCGGTCCAGCTGGCCTCTCACAAGCGAGAATCCCCAGTTGTATTGAGAAGGCGCACACACTGTTTGAGAGTGCATAAACACCGGAATCTGGATACGACCAATTTTCAAGCTTGAAATTGTGAAGATTGCGAATCATCAAGTGGTCTTCGTGTCGTGAATCAACGCAAAACTCTACCTCTGTCACTGTCAACTACGTGCCAGCAACATGGACAAATTGGAGATTCAATCAACTTGCTACGCGAATATCAAGACCTTGTGTGTCAACTATCGCAAGGATTCTTCATCTCGAAAAAACGAAGAGTATCTTAACATACGTTTGTCATCCCTGGAAGAGCAATGGAGCGACTTCGAGGCAAGACATGCTCAATTGGTACTCGAACTTGAAGACAAAACTATCAACTATTTAGCCGACGACGTGTATGGAAAACTTAAGGAGATGTACTTAGCAACTAAAACGGATATTAACAGCAGACTGAAACTATTGGAACAACATAAACGAAGTGTGAAGTTTGACTTGGCGGGAACCTCGGGGGAAGACACTCAAGTACGGGAAGGTGACAAAACATTACAACAACTATTAAACAAACAGGAATGCAACTTTAATGCAATCTACCGTACTATGTCTAAGATTGACATTACCAGCATCTCTGAAAAATGGGAACTAGAAGACAACCTAAATATTTTGAAGTCGAAATGGGAGCCCATCGACAAACTGCACTGGGAAATCGATTTTCATTTGAAGGGATCTAATGACCACTATTATAGCATGTTCTCGGATATTGAAGATAAATATGATGAACTACGAAAACAGCTTCATTCCAAAATTTGGTCGAGTGCTCACTACCAACAATCTGTACCAAAGGTGGAAATTCCCGAATTTTCCGGAAATTACAGCAAGTGGATTTCTTTTAAGGATCTATTTCTTGAAACTATCATAAACAAAGCTCAAAAAATGAAACATCTGAAAACTAAATTGAAAGGTGAAGCTGAAAGTCTGGTGCAGCATCTCTCCGTATGTGCCGAAAACTATCACTCCTGTTGGGATATTTTAGTGCAACGTTACGATAACCGACGTTTACAGTTTTCATCATTTTTCAACGCAATGATTCATCTTCCCACCATACAACAGCCAGACGCTAATAATCTCAAGAAAATGCATGATGTGATCAGAGAATGCATGAATGACATAGCTAACATTGGGTTGGAAACTTCAACCTGGGATCCAATGATAGTCCATTTAATGTTACCCAAACTGGACTCAACTACACTTAATGACTACATGAATGAAATAAAAGATCATAGGGAAATACAAAATTTACAAGATTTTCTATATTTTCTGGAATGCAAGTTTATGGCGTATGAAACTGCAAGATCTACAAAAACTGCAAGAGGGAATTCAACTACGGAAAAAACTACTTTTTGGAAACCAGTCAGCAAACAACCTGTGAAAAAATCATACGGTGATTTCAAGAAAACTTATAATTATCATACTGCCTATGGAAAATGTCCCAATTGCGACGGAAATCACGTTTTAATGCAATGCGCAAAGTTCATCGACATGGACACGGCGCAACGAAACTACACAGTTGCGAAATTGAAAGTCTGCAAAAACTGCCTTTTCAGACATAACAACGAAGAATGTAAATCGGCGAAAACTTGCAAGGAATGTAATTTGAAACACCATACGCTATTGCACAACTCTAATCGAAAATTATTGAATGAGAAAAATAACATTGGACAGCAACCGTCAACATCTTCGCAGCGACAAGTCTCAAATCACTTATCTTCAGATAACACGGAGATTTTACTAACCACAACCCAGCTGAAAATAAAAACTATGGATGGAACTTATGTAACCCTTCGGGCCCTCCTCGACCAAGGCTCGCAAGTGAATTTAATAACTGAAAATGCC